GGTATTTCCCAACATTAATAAAAAATCGTTGTGAAACTATGTCGCATAAATATGAACATGTAATGTGATAAGAGTAACCTTTCGAGACTGTGAAAAATAACTGCATATCAAAGTGACACATACCGTAACACTACGAAATCCGCCTCCAAAACTGCATACTACCTCTTCAGCTGCCCTAGTTTAATCGGCAACAGGAATCCTATACATCCTCGTAGAGTTTGATACTCGCTCTTCGCGTTCGAAGACGACCTGATAAATAATACTAAAACTCCAAATTGACTTTCAATGGAGTTTCACCCATTTTACGTGGAGTGACGTAATACTCTGTGAAAAACGCGTAGCCGAGGAAAATATTTTTTCCCTAGTGAAAAATTTTGGGAAAAATTCTGAGAAACTTTTTCATATCACGGCATATGAAACTCCAATAAACTTACTTAAATGAACTCCGCTTATCCCAGGTGACGAAAATTCCATCAGTTGTAACATCAGGGTGAAGACTCTCAGGCCTGCCGATGATATTGGAAAAAAACCACTGAGTGTTGTTTTAATTCTTATTACATATCCGGTAGATCAACTTCGACGTTTTTCCTCCATCGGTGTTGCGATTTATAGTAGGCCCGCAGTACGTCGAAGCAATAAGCGCAAAGCTCAGCACTCGCTCGAACAGGTTCTAGTGAATCTAAGAAAGAAAATTCACATTAATACTATTTCGAAAGCGATTTTGAATTTTATGGGAAAAGATCATTTATTTATGAGAAATTTTATGGGAAAAAATCCTTCATGAGAAATTTTATGGGAAAGAATATTTATTTATGAGGAATTTTAAGGGAAAAAATCATTTATTCATGAGAAATTTTATGGGAAAAATCATTTATTTATGAGAAAATTTATGAGAAGTGTCTCGAATGATTTCACACTGTTTGAGGCGATTTGGCTGGATATATAAATTGTCAACTACATGGTATGAGAATTTTGATAAAATTTTGGTAAGGTCGTGTTGGTTTCTATACACTACTATACGAAATCGCATGTAATTAGTGAGGAAACTCCTGAGCTCAGGTGAGGAAAGAGATCATATATTCCCCCAACACTGATTTGGAGATTCGTATTATTCAAAAACAGATGATAATTGTTTAAAAAATTCAGGAAACTTAGATTCTCTTCGAAGGAATATTCCTATTATCAACAATCCATAGATTGTCTTTGAGAATACAACGCAAGGTAGTTGTTGGACCTCATCTGAATCTTCCACGTGGCAACCTTGGATACCACCCTTGCTCACCTTTAGAGGAATGCACTCCGTTGATGTCGAGTTTTTGTGTAGTACTGCTGATAGTGTTCATAGTGGAAAACAAAACTACTCGGAAAATGATTTACTTTTTGTGAATCATTAACGACGAGAATTCGACAGTGTTACGGTATAGTTCGATGAATTAAAAGTTATAACGCAAACAATAAACTACACGTGTTGGTGACTATATGAAAATTCTGTAAGACACTTTAGGAAATTCTTATTGCTTTCCGTACACTCCTGGTCAC